GTTTTTAGGGTTATTAACGAAGTTCATGAACTCAGACCAGTAATATTTGGGGTCACAAGTTTTTGCCGTGGATATTTTGTGGGTCAGAAGACAAAACGTTTGGGAACCACTGGTCTAAACCATTGWTATATACTGCTCAAAAAAATAAAGGGAACACTTAATCAACACACRCTAACTCCAAGTAAATCAAACTTTTGTGAAATCAAACTGTCCACTTAGGAAGCAACACTGATTGACAAACAATTTCACATGCTGTCAGCACATTCAACTTTGTACAGAACAAAGTATTCAATGAGAATATTTCATTGATTCACTTCTAGAATGTGTTATTTGAGTGCTCCCTGTATATTACTGGRTTGGACGTCACATGGTTTTTAGACATGCAGAGGTGCCACGGACCAACTTGAACCAGATATATACGTGTGCAGGGTCCAAGAAAAGAAAGAATAACACATCAGGAACTGAATGCTTTGCTATAAASTGTAACACATAATGAAATTCATGGACWGACGCACAAGGAATAACATTTCACACAGAAGCTTCTTCTGTACTTGCTGTAGTAAAGCAATCATTCAGGTCACCAATGCATAACGTTAACTGCAGGCAGACTCACGTAAAATACTGTATGTCACAAAAATAGGCTCTACGTGCAGAATAATACGGTAGCTACTAGCTAATTTAACAGCTGGCAGTATGATAGAATATATGATGAATAATAAACTATTTCTTAACCTCACATATATATATATATWTTTTTTTAAATATTTTATTCCAACACAGTGTCATGTATTTTCATTATAGAATAGACCTATAAGATATAATGCACTCCTGGAATAGAGAACTTAAATGAAGACTTCTGTGGATTAACAAACAGGCAGCAAATGTCAAAAAGTATTCTTTTAATGAAATTAATTAATGTGAAATACATCTAAAAGACAGTAAATTAAGATACAATACTGAAAATGTGATAAATAGTATGGTTATTCTGCAGATACAGCTGTACCAGGCTTGTTAAATACGAGGGATCTCCTATACTGTCCAGAATATTATGGTTGATTAATTGTCTTAATTCTGCAATAATAATAAACACGTATACATTTATGAAACATTTTTATTGTCACTGCTATTCACTATTTTTACCAGACACCTCAAAAATTTACATTAAAAAATTTGTATACCTGAGTCCCCCACCAAAAAAATATCTCTATGTAAAATAAACCTGATAAATGATTTAGAAAATGTACCAGGCAGAAAGTGTATCACAACCAATGTGCAAAATATGAAATATAAAAATTTATTGGGGCAGGCTAGCCCTGACTGTAGCTATTTAAATGTTTGTTTTTATTAACGTCACATCCATGTCAAGTTGTGTGAATTGTCTGTGAATTAAATGGATTTTCCTCCATTTTACAGAGAAATCTCACCGATTATTTTTTTAAATCAGCTTCAAATTTATTTTACATCTCAGAGCCTGTAGGACATAAAAAACAATAAATAAAATTAAAAAAATGACTTAACTTGAAAATTGTTTGATAAAAAAAGTATGTCGATATTCATAAAACCCTCAACAGTGATTATATAAAAATAATAAAACGTGTTAAATGTGAATTCAGTCACATCAAGTTTAACTTTCTGTGGCTCATTTAGACTTTGAATAATGCTTCTGATGTAAAGTATGTGTTAGATTTAGAGTTTCAAAGAGGGCTGGGGTCTTCTCTGCAAAGGAATGTCCAGAAACAACAGATGGAGTAGCAAACCCAGCATTATGATGGAAAAATGTGTAATGTTTTTAAAAATCTGGCTTTAAGTGTTGAACTGTCTCCAACCTCTTTGTGTTGCATTTTGTATCTTTTGTATTTTGTTCCCCATCATGGAGTGAAGTGGGGAATTGCAAATCCCTTTGTCCACCTGTCCATCCATCTAATGAACTGGATAAGTTGAAAAATGAGGGAGGTAAAGACTTCCACTTTGGTGTRTGGCTGCATGTAGGTCCCTATCAAAAACTGGGTTGAAGCATCAAAATGTTATGTGGATCTTTTTAAATGGTGGTGCAGCTTTAGAGACGTGTCTAAAAAAACTGATCTCTTTAAACCTCTTAACAAAAAACCAACAGCAGATACTGTCTAACCTGTGAAGTCCTCTCATACCTCTGCTTTCTAAAATACTGAATCCAGTTCTGATTGAGTCCTGAGTCACTCTGCWGCTGAATAAACATCTCACCCTTTGTCTCATGACTTCACTGCCATTAACTCCACTCCTGCTCCAACAGTCAGTCAGACGTCTCCATCAAGCAATGTCCCATGTGTGGGATCTACATCGAGAGGAACCAGGGGTGTGCTCAGATGCTGTGCAAGAGCTGCAAACACACCTTCTGCTGGTACTGTCTGGAGAACCTGGACGTGAGTGTTCCCCTCAGCAGAGCTCACCCGTGGGTTTAAACACGAGTTGTGCTGACCAAACATCTAACTTGTGGTTGTTTAAATGCAGGGTGACATCTTCCTGAGACATTATGACAAGGGGCCGTGCAAAAACAAGCTGGGACACTCCAGGGCCTCCGTCATGTGGAACAGAACACAGGTGAGGCAGTTTACCTGGTTTGTGGTGGGTTTGTCAAAATCTGAGCAGGTTTCAGAGCCACATATCTGTAAGGAACTCTGTCATCATCCAACCAGAGTTTCAAGTTTCATAGATTTTATTTATTCACTTCTGTTAGGTAGAAAGTCTCACTGCAGAAGTTTGTTCAGAACAGTATAATTTACTAAATGGAGAAGTTATTAATTGCATACCTCAGTTTTATTTCACCATCCAGCCTTGAGAACATTTAAGATGGTATCTCACTGTGACTGTGGGGAGAAAAGTTATTGTCATGCAGAATTGCAGAAAAAAGGGTAATTTTTCTGTAGCAGTCTCACTTAAATACAGGTGTTTGTGACTAAAGGTCTCCACATATTCAATCCAAAGCTGAACAGTTGATGTGCAGGCACGTGGTTGTTTGATGTTTGTACCAGACAGGTACCATCCATATTGTTTTCAATGAACACATTCTGAATTTAAAAATTAAAAACCATTTTTAGCAGCATTAGAAGTGTTAGCAGTGGTTAGTGTTGACGTCAGTCTCAGGATGATGACATCCTAACAAGAGTCGAGCATTTTAAGATTTAACTTTTACATTTAGATTTAAAAATTTAAATGTAGGATTCAGTATTTGCATGTTATTTACCCTTTAAATTTAGTAAAAATTGGCAAAATGTAAGAACAGTGTTCTAAATAAACATAAAATATTAGTGGAATATTTTTAACCAGGATTTTTCACTCAGAAATTGAGCTAAATAAAATGTGTTAGTGACATTATTCAACTTTTTATTTTACGCTTAGCACCCCTATGTTCAAGACTCAAGTAACAAGGATTCACATCACTGCCACTCAACTCGAGAGATTTCCATCTTTAGTTTTCCTCCTTTCATCAGCTGATACATACATTAGTGGTTACGTCAATGTTTGGTCAAAGGCCAGGGGTCAGATTTKTAAAAGATTGCGTGGAAACCATACTAAAAGTGAACRTACAGCCAAAAGGCGGAAATGGCGTACGCCAAAAACAAATCAGATTTATAAAACCGTGCGTACACATGTTTCTGCGCACCTTTTCTTTATAAATCACAGCCACACATCAGAGTTTGCGCATGAGGTCCCGCCTCAGGTTCTACCCTCTACACGCCCACACTCAACCATAAACAGTCAAGAATGTTAAGATGTATTTAAATCAGTCAGCTGATCAGTGTCAACAAAAGTGATTGGCTCAGACACGCTACATC